GAAAGTTTTCAGATAACCCTAATAAGTACATAGATGTTTTCCAGGGACAGACATAAACATTTAATTTATCATGGAAGGATATAATGCTTCTTTTAAGTAAGACACTCTCAGGATCAGAGAAGTGGTCAGTCCTAAATACAACTCAACAGTTTAGAAACAAATACTTCTTAGTAAATGTCAGTGGGGTCCCCCATGATCAGATTGGACAGTTTTACCCCAGGGCTTTAGAGATAGCCCCCATTTGTCTGGTCAGGCCTTAAATCAGGATTTATGTCAATTTAACCACCTGTAGACCAAAATATACAAAGGTCATTAGATTCACTGGCTCACATGGTTCTAGATCATAGAATGGCCCTTCCTATATGTCAGCAACCCTTTTAAAATAGAACTTAGAACACAAGATATTCTTAAACAGACTATATAGTTAAGGGAGAAAACATTGCATTCTCAATCTCCTAAAATTTAGGCTCAAATCCATGGTATGCTACCTATTCCTAGCGTTATTGTTTGGCTCTTGTATACTCAATTGTCTAACTCTATTCATCCTCTCTTGCCTAGAATCCATCAAACTACAGATGGTCATGGAAATGAAACTCTGAATGACATCTTTCCATCTTCCATGGTCCCTTAGATCGTCCACCTCTGATGGAGCCCCAATACCCCTTGCTATGTCCCACTTCAGTTGTAAGTTGCTAGAACAGTCATTGCTCCCATTCCCAACAGCAGCTGGGGTCTCCAAATTGGAATGGGAAATGAAGAGACAGAAGGAAGCTAGGTAGATAGGGGCAGGACTATGGGAAGGGAAAGTAATACCCAAGAACCCAACTATGGGGAGTTACTAAGATAACCCAACTGGGCGGGGAAGGAAAGGTATGCGAGAGAGGCATGAACTTTAAAATGTATGGATATTACTAAGGTAGCATAACCAATCAGGAACTAGCAAGCATATATACAAAAAAAGAGAACACTTGAGTTTCCTCTTTCTCTCTTCCCCTGGTGCAGCACACAATGGATACCTGATGTTCCTGTTGCGGGTGCTTATGGCCATGTGGGCCTCCACATGTGGACTAATAGACTTTAATTAGTTTGGATGCTGAACTACTCCTGACAGTAACATGAAAAGAAAGCTCTGGACACTGGGCTGCTCCTGAAACTCCAGCTACACCTTTTCCAGGACTGGCTTTTCCCAATAAACTTCAGTTCTGCTAATTGTTTTTGTCTGTCACTTCATTCTTCGTTTTCTCGAGACAACAAACTTGGACTCAACATCCCACATTTTGGTTTCAGTACCTCTGCAGGAGCTGAATTCTCTGCTGGACAACTTAGTTATTACCCTCTCCTCACCTGGCTATCTGCACCCTTCAAAAGTGAGCTCTTTGTTGCCTCCTCTGGGAATACTACACCATTTGCTTAATACTACAACTGTTTGCTATTTTTTCATACCAAATATAATAATTGGTTAACTGTCTGCTCTCACCAGAGACTCCCACAGCAGGGCTATGTCTTTTAAACTCTTTATTCCCAGTAGTGATGGTCATGTAACAGGGTGCTCAACAAATGTTCAATAAATACAAAAATGGACTCAAGGAGTGAAGTGAGGACAGAAGAGGTGCATGGGACCCACCCATCGAGGTGGCCACAGGAGTGTTTTGTGAGTCATGTACATATGCTTGTGGAGCTTAGTGGACACCTAGGTTTTCCGGACCCTCTTTATAATTGTACAATTTGAGAGGAGAAATGCTATCTGTAAGAAATAGTTTGCAAGATAGCTCTCATTTTTATAAAATCCACACATACCAACAGCAAGGCCAGCTAGAGAAGCTGCACCAAGGCACGACATATCCAGTTGAACAGGTCTGTCTATCTTCTCATTAATCAGGTCTGAAGTCATCTGCATGACAAAACTGTTCTTACAAACTCCTCCATCTGCCCTGTGGGGAGCAAGATATTTGAGATAAAGTACCACAATAAAAGCATAACAACATTTTTAAGAAGAGTCATATTTTTTTAGACCCTTGATTTTACTATTTAATTCCAAAATTATAACACTTAGCATTGACCTGCAGACACAGGACCTTACTAGGTAATCTTGAAACATTTTCCCTTATTCCTTATTTCCTTCCATCTGCTCTATTTGTTCAAAACAGACCAAGTGAACTGAGCCAACATACAAATTCATTTGGACATTCTAGCAAAGAAAATTTGATGTTTCTATGCCAAAAGGATAGCCACACGCCCAAAAGTGATTTTAAAGATTCTTATAATATGGGTGCTGAGATCTCCCAAATTCCAAAGTGTGTTATATTCTCCATAAATCCCAAATCGACTTTTTATTCCTGTCAAAACCTTATGTTCAAGAATTTTGTTGCAAAGGATCTAGGTTTAAGTTCTTTTTGAAATACTGAATAACCCTAATGATGGAAATACTCATGGTAGCTACCACTTCCTTCCAATTTCTAATTACATCTATTAGAAAGAAAGCATACATACCGGATTTTTGTCACGGGAATACGTATCTCTTTCTGCATCACCTCATATAACTGCTTGTTTCTAGTTAAAAAAATAAGATAACTATGTAGATAAAATTGAAATCATAGTAATTCTCTATTTTTCTAATCTATAAAAATATAAACTATGGTTTTATGTACATAATATATATATAAAATATGCAAAAAGGTATTAAAGAAATATATTCTGCTAACTAGAAATGGGTAACAGATGTTCAAATAAACAAGAGGCTCAAGGCTTGTGCTTCTCACCTCCATACAAAAGAGCACAATTTTTATTTTCAAACTGAATTTTATCTATAACTGTTCCTACAAATAAAAATACAAAACAAGCATCCGTTTAATAGATAGCTATTAAGATGGCATGCCATAAATTATATCTTACAGAATTAATTAAATATAGAACTAATCCTATATGATAAAAACCTAATATGCTAAGTGGTCGTCTAGTAGGCTGTTCAAACAATCAAAGCATAATATGCTAATGATATGCTAAGGCTGCTCAACTGCTTGCTATGAGGTGCACTGACCACCAGGGGGCAGACGCTCCAACCGGTAGGTTAGCTTGCTGCTGGGATCCGACCGATCAGGACTGAGCAAGCCAGGCCAGACATGCCCTGGAGCCCTCCCGTGTCCCTCCCCAGCCCCGATTGTGCACCGGTGGGGTCCCTTGGCCTGGCCTGCACCCTCTCACAATCCGGGACCCCTTAGGGGATGTCAGAGAGCCTGTTTCGGCCCGATGGCAGAACAACTGGTCACTATGATGCACACTGACCACCACAGTGCAGACACTCAACACAGGAGCACCGCTCAGCCAAAAGCTGGGCTCATGGCTGGCAAGTGCAGTGGTGGTGGCAGGAGTCTCTCCCGCCTCTGTAGCAGCACTGGCTGGGGATGTCCAATTGCTGGCTTAGGCCCACTCCCTGCGAGGGGACCTAAGCAGGTAGTTGGACATTCCCCACAGGCTCCCAGACTGCGAGAGGGTGCAGGCCAGGCTAAGGGACACCCCCTCCCCAAAGTGCACAAGTTTTGTGCACCAGGCCTCTAGTCATTTTATATTCACAGGAAATTTTATTTTAAACATTTGAATTTTCGATATTCATGATAGCCACATTCTTAATTTTAATAAGCTACACCTGCCTCATAAAAAAAAGAGCACTGGAAAATATACATAAAAATAATTTTGATAATTCAATCTTTGAGTATCACAGAAGCATATTAAAATTCTCCTTCATGGCCGTAACCGGTTTGGCTCAGTAGATACAGCGTCGGCCTGCGGACTGAAAGGTCCCGGGTTCGATTCCGGTCAAGGGCATGTACCTTGGTTGCGGGCACATCTCCAGTAGGGAGTGTGCAGGAGGCAGCTGATCGATGTTTCTCTCTCATCGATGTTTCTAACTCTCTCTCTCCCTTCCTCTCTGTAAAAAATCAATAAAATATATTTTTAAAAAAGTCTCTTTCATGAATACAAAAACCTTTGAAAATCCAAATTTTAAATCTCTTATGCTTAGGAAATTGGATATTTTTAAAAATCACTGAATTTTCATATATCAAATCTAAGTGGTACTAGTACTATTTAATATGAAAAAATAAAAAATGATATGAAAATTAGCAGTAAGAACAGACTATGTCATATGTAGTATGAATAAAAGGTATAAATCCTTGATTAAAATTATGAAATTTCTAATTTTATAGAAGCTAATAAAAGAAAACGGGAATACCATAAGGGGAGAAAGGAGTTTAGAGCAGGTTTTGGTACCTGAAAGCTATGGACTCCAATATTGCTCGTACAAGATGGTATTTACTAGTGGAAGGCTTCAAACCCATAAAAGAGGCACATGCACAGGGGTCATTTAATGGAGCCTAAAGTAAGAGATAGTAAGAATATATTATTATTGTTCTAAGTCACATCTATAGACTTAAAGACATATTATTCAATAAAAATGAACACATTAGAAAAAAAATCCCTATTATAGTTAAGTAGCTTTAAAATAAATAACAGTCCAAAATTATATTAAATAATTTAATATAACTTTTTAAAAGGGCTTGAGCAAGTTTGAGAACTGACATGGGACTTACCTGGGCCTTCTATTTGAGCTCATACCGAGAAAAGGCACTGCGATACAGAGTGACCAATTATTAACAGCCCAGTTTTATTAATGAAGGCAATGAAAAATAGTCCTTGTACCCCCTTCTCTCCAGTTGTAGGGTTTTTACACATAAAGTGTTCACTGCATAAAGGAGCTTTTTGAGGACATAAGTGAGACTCAAGATAAAGAACAATAATGCAAAAAATGTGTTTTTCAGTGTCATAACTTATACCAAATTTGTCACCAGACAATCGAGTACTCAATTTCTTAGCTTACAGTCTTGTTGTCTAATATGAGAAATGACCCAGCCTAACATCTGTCTTTAAAAGAGTCAAAATCTTGCCCTGGTTGGTGTGCCTCAGTGGGTTGGACTGTCATCCTGTATACCAAAAGATTGTGGGTTCCATTTCCGATCAGGACACATACCTAAGTTGCAGGTTTGATCACTGAAGGCAACTGATATCCCTCCCC